GCCACCGGGCCGGCCCACTTCTTTAACTTTAAATTCTTCAGATTTGCTTGTTTTGTTTTGTTTTGCTTTAAATTATGCATGAAGATTCCAGACAAGTAAAAAGACAAAGTTCCCTCAATTGTCCAGCAAAAGCTGACAGAAAAAACTAAGGTCTTATGTCAGAGACCCAGTTAGGACTCTCATTTGTTTGAAAGCCTGTGTACCTTGTATGCCCCACCTTACCAGCTTAGGCAACATAATTAAGTCACTTCTAGTCATGAGGTTTTTGTTGTTGTTGTTGTTTTCTAAAAGACGACCAGTAAGGGGATCTTAACTCTTGACCTGGTGTTGTCAGCACTATGCTCTCCCAAGTGAGCTAACCGGCCATCCCTATAAAGGGATCCAAACCCGTGGCTTTGGTGTTATCAACACCACACTCTCCCAAGTGAGCCATGGGCTGGCCCCATGCGTTTCTTAATGTTAAAATTTATACCACTCTGAGCTCTACCTAGCAAGTAGAGTCCAACTTTCCCTTGGGGTTTTCCCAGATATTCCCACTGACCCCAGTGTTACTCATTTCTTCCAAAAGGGTTCTGCCAAATTACTGATGGTGGGGTGCTGGTGAGTCAGCCACAGTGCATAGTCAAAGCTTCTCCTCCACTGCCACTGCCTGGGGTCACTGCCAAGACCCAGGCAGCCTGGTTTGGCTGCACAGGCTAGAACAAATACCTTTTCCCTCCTGGCTGTAGCTACCCAAGGTTAGGAGAGGTCCTACCATCACCCACACAGTGCAAAAAGGCTAGTCCTTGCCTGCCAACACCCCCCAAGTGTGGACGCAACCTTTGTTCTTACTCTCCTAATGCAGAGCCAAGGGCAGGCTGCAGACAAGAAAAACATTACAGTCAATAGTAGTTTCTGTCAATATCTACCAATGTCTGAGGCCACTTTTAAGTGAAAAAAAAAAATCTTGCTAACTCCCAACTGCAAAATTATTTTAATTCTGTTTCTTAGTTATATGTAAACATTAGATTAGGTATAAATTCCTTATTCTCACAGGTTTCTACATCTATGAAACTAAAACAATTTTAGAAATTAAATTCACAATGTTTAAAATTCAATTAATATTATGTATATAACGTGGTGAATGATGTTTTGTTGAAATTAAATTGTCCCTTGAGATGAGAATATGGAACTTACTGCTACGGCAAAGCTTTTTTGTTTGGCATGCTTATAGTTGACTTAATTATCCTACATTCTTCTGTAGTTGAATTTCTGTTAAACTTTTATACAGTGTGCCATGAGGATGCTTGACCTTCACTTAGTCAAAATGCTGTCATTTTCACAAGAAGTATTCTGTACTTTTCCCATTAGCCCAAGAAAATCAGTGTTATAGTTGGTACCAAATACAAAATCAAGTGCAGCATTTGGTTACAAGGTGGTCATTAAATGATCCAGAATTGGCATTAGAATATATTAATTTTTAAAAGAACATAATTTAAATAAGAGCAAAAAATTCACATATATTTTCTTAAACTCTAGTTTAAGAAACAATGCTCTACATCCTTGCTACTCCAAGAATCAGGGAGCCTGATCCTGGTCCAAGGATCAGGGAGCTTGTTGGAAATGCAGTCTTAGGCCCCAATCCAGAC